AGGAAAATGACTGACACAGATTTTTAGGGTGGGAGAAAGTAAGAAGAATAAAGGGAGAATTGACATAGTATTTAGCTTTATCGATATGTTTGAAAACTAACTGCTGATGGGAATAAAGCTTATTGGGGATGAAGTGCAGTGGTGACTGTGGCTTATAAAGCTTCCTTGAGCTTGTCACTTCTGGAGTCTTTCTTCTGCACACTATAGTGAGGTCTGCCCTGTGATGACTTGGGTCCAAAGGATTGGCTGTGTGTTCACATACCTATTCCTCCATTTTGAGAAGTTTGAGCTGGGAACAGATGAGGGGAAGGCAATGGTGTTTGCAGAGGCAGCACTCCCTGTAGGTAAAAATGGGAAGCTTAGAGAGGGTCAGGAAAGATCCCAGAGCAGTGAGAATTTCAGGACAACAGTTTCTTGTACTCTTTAAGACAGAGTTGAGATTGACCTTAAGGCATGACACAGTGTCTGGCTGGAAAGTGGAGATGGGAGGAGGGCATCTGGAGAGAAGCTACCTGCCCCCAGGGATTGAGGGCCTGAGCCTGTCACAATCTCGTTGACCCAATTTGAGCAGAGCTGGGGAACTCTGATCCACGCCATCACACTATCGCCAGTATTGGAGACAAGTCTTTGTCCCTCCCTACAGGTTGAAAGACCCTCTCAGCTGCCTGGTGGCATGTGACTGATGCAGGCTGCTGACATAGTCTCTTCTCTTCTGAAGCAGGGCAGAAGAGCAGGAAGAAGGATCAGGAGGGAGGGGAGGAGGAAGAGGAGGGGGAAAAGAGGAAGGAGGGTAGGAGGTGGCAAATCGAGAGGAGGAAGGGGAGGAAAAGGAAGGGGAATGCAAGGGTGGGTGGGACTCAGATCTTGCTGGAAGCATGGGAATCCCAGGTGCCCACATGCAGAGATCACTCTCAGCGCCTGTCCTGTGCCAGTGGGAAAGGATGTGCTCAGAGGCTTCAGTTTCCTGGGTGAACACCTTTCCATTCTGCAAGGAGAGGGAGCTGTTGCCAGAACCCCCTGGTTACCTTAGAAGAAGCCCCTGGGCCCCTCTGAAAGAACCCAGGGACTTCTGATCCAGATCTATTTCTGAGTGTTTCCTGGAGCCTACAGCAGCCTCCCCCAGCGGGGCTGTCCTCTGCCTGCCTCAGAGAACAGCTGACCATGTCTGGAACTGGAGTTTTACTGGCTAATGAAACCAAGAAATGCTGGTGGGCCACTCTGTGGAGAGGCCATCACAATAACCATGCCACAAGAAAGGCGCTCTCCCATCCCTTCATGTCGTTTGGCAAACGTGACTCACTTCATTCTCTTGCCAACAATGTAAGACATTCCAAACTCTCCACACATGTGGAAGAGTCAGGGGTCGGGCTATGCCTCTGTGGTTGTTTCGGTAATATCCAAGTGAGATTTCTACCAGACTAAACAACACCATTTCCCGTCCAATGGTTTTATTAGTGTGAATGATCCCTAATCACAACACACTGCAGTCTTTATTGAGTCTACAAACAATGATGCCATGAATGTGCCAGGTCTGGTGTGTCCTGACTATGTATACACGGCCAAACCCAAAGACTTCTGGCAAAGTTCTGACCCTGCTCCCAGAAACCCCTTTTCTCACTGGCCTCCTAGCTTTGAAGACCAGACAATGTTTTGCACCCTCTAACTATGTCCTCATCTTTTCTAACAAAAACTCAGCAGCTTTGCCCCCAGTTCAAGATCCTGAAACTGGCAAGCCCACTTCAGAGTGGAGTCTCAACTGAATGGGGATGTCCTAAATGATCCAGGAACAGAAACTATGTTAGCCAATCTTGTAGATGCTGAGCCCAGGGACAATGGTGGTGTCATAGCAGAAACAGAGCCCTGGGGCAGGGTGGCACCAGACAATACTGCCGACTGAGAAAGCAAAACCCACTGTTCAAGAAGCCAGACATTAGAGCATTAGAGGTGTAATTAAGAGGCAGACACACACACACACACACACACACACACACACACACACACACACACACACACACACACACAGAGACAGAGAGAGACAAGAGAGGCACAGAGAGAGTATCTCTACACACACTTGTGGGTGTGATGTGGGCACACATGTGGAGATCGGGGGACAGCTTCAGGTGTCAGGCCATGCCTTGTTTGAGTCTAGATCTCTTGTCCATGACTGTACACCAGGCTACACTGCTTATAAGGTTCCAGATATTCTCCTGCCTCCTCCTCCTACCTCTCCATAGGAGTGCTTGGGCTAAAGAAACACAGTTTGTCTGGCTTTTATGTGAGTCCTGGGGATTTGAACTCAGGTCCCCCTGCTTGCATGGCAAATGCTTTTGCTCCCTGGGCCAGCTCTTCAGCCTTCAAAGTTTTCTTTCTTCTTCACATTTCCTATCTAATTCATTGCAAGTCTCTGTTCTACCTTTCAGCTACTGCCCCCCCCCCAGCATCCTGATCCTCTATCCCCACACCCATGGCCATAGCCATAATCCCTGATCTTCTTTGTCCTGCTATTGACAAGGAAAGCTTCACCAGCTCCCCATCCCCAGCTTACCCCTGATGACGGCTTCTGAGGATTCTAATTCAGGACCCCAAGCTTGTACATCAAGTACTGTTACCATTGACCCAGCTCCCCAGCTCCAAATATGGCTACTAATATCTTATTTTCTTTAGTTCTGTGCTTTTTCTTTAACTTTGCTTATAGAATTTTTCTCATAAAAGGTTATAAATCATTAATTCAGTTTATTTTCCCCTCCTCTGGTTTCTGGTTAAGAAATTTATCCCAGCCTAATCTTACATTTCTTCTAGTTCTTTAGCAGTCCTCCTGTTAGTTTTTACATTTATAACATCAGTCCACCTGGATCCTTATTTTTGTAAAAGGTGTTTGTTTTGGGATGAAGCTATCAGGGAATGGAGGCAATGCCTTGAAGAAGGCATGCTTGGTTACAAGTGCCAAAAGCTCTCGAGAGTCAATGTTATGTATGGCCATTGTTCTACATTAAATACTGTCATGCTATCATCAAATTATGTTTTGGAAAGGTCAAAATGTTTTAAATTTACCACCTTTGTATTACTTTGGTGTGTTTTATTACATGGGTTTCTGTGGTTGTTCACATCTATCCTATTTATAAGGTGGAAACACTATATAATAATGGTGATGCTCTGTTGATAAGTATGAATCAGCCATGGTGAGAGTGTTTATACCATGGAAATTGGCAAATGCCACAAGTCAGAGTCTTTCTTTTTCATTTGGATATGCCACTGTAAATAGTTCACCAGTGAACTGCTACCCATCTCCAGATGTGCAAGGGAAGGATTTCGAGAGAGAGCAGTGCCAGTTTCCTTTCCAGTACTGAGACAATGCTTCTAAAATACTCATCTTTATTCCATGTATGTGTTGCCAAGAGGAACTGACAGGGGATTTCTCCAGTCTCCACATTCCCAGCCTGGGTCTCATTTTGGTGTAATTTGCCCTTTTCTGAGTCATCATAGGACTTCTTGATTGCAGTGTGGCAACTCAGGTCGTTAAGGAGGGCTATTTGTCTGTTATATGCCTGTTTTCATATAACACTAAGTTTTCTTAAAACATTTGCCTGATGCTCTCTAACTAGCCAAGTGAGCTGGCTGTGTCACTTGCCTCCCTCCACATGGCAGCCTGTGCTCCCGGGACAAGAGCAACTCAGGCAAGAATCAGAAAACATGTTTGGGAACTCACATTAGCTCTTGAAATAATGGAAATGCTATCCTGCTTTTAAGAAAGAACTAGGTTTCATCTCTATAAGTCAGTGTTTCTGAAGATCTAAGAACATTTTTTTAAATCACAGGGGAAAACCCACCACATTCAATCAGATGGTCCTGTGAAACTTTCCTTAGAAGACGGGGTCACTTTACTGTGATTCAGTGTTTTCTCTTGAAAGTCTTAAGCACATGTTTAGAAATCTGTGCTGAAGTGATGACACTATCACCCTGTCACAAATTCTCTAGTATATTTAGTGTTCAGTATCCAGTCATGGTGCTGCATACATACAATCTTAGCATTTGGGAGGCTGAGGCAGACTGGAGTTCAAGGCCACCTTGGGCTACATAGGATGATACTGTCTCAAAAATGGAGCTTGGAAGTTACTTTTGGCAGCACTTCACAAATAGATTAGATATCCGGTCTACCCACCATCCCCCAAGTGTCCCCTCTTTGATTTCCAATGCATCTCTTCTCTTTTCCACAGTCATCTTATTTTTCAAGATTCTGCATTGGTTCTACAATGAGCTCCAAGTTTAGTGCATATCTGCCCTCTGCACTCAGCTGTGGCCCCTAGAGAACTCATTTGGCATCTAAGTCTACTTTCCTTTGCCACTCATTTTGTTGGTTAATTTCTATTGTCAATGCTTTTACGTCAGCATTTATGCCGAGGGTCCTTATTCTTGGAGAGCAAGCCAGGAAGCAGTGTTCCTCCCTGGTCTTTGCTTCAGATCATGCTTCCAGACTTCTGCCCTGAGTTCCTGCTCTGACTTCCTCAACGAAGTAGTGTGACCTGGAAGTTGCTTTTGGTTATGTGTTTATCACAGCAACAGGAAACAAGTTAGGATCCAGTCTAAGAGTTTCTGAGACGTTTGACTCATTTTAACAATTTGACATTTCTATCTTTACAAGAACCTGCTAGTGATGTGTGCTGATCAAAATGAAGTTTTTTAACTTTATATTATTTTGGAGGGAAGGACAAGTTTCTGCTGAAGCTTGAGTTGTGAAAATTTTGGATTTATGGAACACAAAATAACTCCAAACAAAAGAGCAGACACACCCATGGAGCTATGGGACACAGACTCTGTGACATGTTGCACTGTGAGTAGGGTACACGCTAATGATGAGGGCGTGGGACTTCTGGGTGGTGGTTAAGTTATGCTCAGAATTTCCCTAGCTCTAAGTACATAATTGAGGCTGGCGACAGCTGGCCAGCAGCGGTGCACATGGCGTTCCACTCACTGTTAACAACGGCATCAGGGTTACAACTTACACCTTTGCGGACTTCAGAACTGATTTCTGGCCCCGAGATTTGGAGGTTCTCCAGGTTAGCAATCCAATCAGCACTGACCTGAATAGTGAGGTCCAAGTGGGCTGTTCAAGTTTACATGGACTCATGTGTTAATGGCTGGCTCCCAGCTGGTGTCACCACTGAAAGGTGGAGTCAGGATGGTCCTAACCTCATCAGTTGACCAGCACATCAACGACTCCCCAGCTGAATGGCGATTAGGCTGGTCCTAGTTGGAAGAAATAGGTCCTAGGGACATGAATTCTGTTTTGTCCTGGTTGCTGCCTCTCTCCCGTCTTTGCTTCCCAACAGCCACGAGGTGAGCATGTTTTCTCCTTCAAGCCTGTCCACAGTGGCACTTGTGCCTCACCACAAGCTGCAAAACAAGAGAGCCAAGTGACCATGAACCAACCTCTGAAACCACACACAAAAAAGTGTCGGGTGTTTTACTCAGGTATTTTGTTACACGTAACTTCGCAACAAAAAGTGACTTATAGGACAAGGACCAGATGGAAAAGAATGAAATTAAAGTCTAAATATGCTAGACCCCCACATGAAAGCAATTGAGTAGTGGGGATACCTGTCTGGAAGAGGTGATGGAGTGCTGATTAATGGGAGGTGGATGAATGATGAGATACACACAGATGCTTGTGACAACATGAGTAGTAACTAAAAATTATTTATTAATTATTTATAATTTATTTATTAATTAATTTATTCAGCCATGCAACAAGTTTTAATTAAGAGCTCACCTTGGGCTTGGGCATGAGGCAATAGTGTGTGTGTGTGTGTCTGTCTGTCTGTCTGTCTGTGTGTCTGTGTGTCTGTCTGCCTGTCTCTGTATGCCTGCATCTATCTGTGTCTGTCTGTATACCCCCTCTCCCCCACCCCTCGTGTGTGTCTGGGCTGCCAATCCCACAAGGTCCACAGACATGGCAGATGGTTATAAAGATCTAGGTTTGAATCTTGCTTCCACTGTCCAGCTTTGTGATCTGAGTTGCTTAGTCTCTGCCCAGTGAGAGCAATGCCTCCCATGGCAGGACCTCGCGGTGAATTCGTTGAAAGTCCTGTGGGAACCAGTGGAGTAATTGTGGAAGACACCTCACCTGGTGCATGGCTGTGAGAAGCATTCAACTCTGGAAGACCCACTCCCCCATCTCTCGGGAAAGGAAGCTTCCCAGGGGAAGGGAGTGTCTGTATCCCAGGGAGGGCTCGGGGGGAGGGAATGTGTGGTATTCCCGGACTCTGAGTGTCTGTCTGTGCTGTATAGAGAAGCACCCTGCATTTCCCATAAGATGCCTGAGTCACTATTAAAGTTCAGTTGCTCAGACATCACGGGTCAGCAAACAGCTTGGACTGTTGGTCTCTGCTAGAGCTCAGGGTTAAAGAGGAACAGTTTGATGAAAACTTTAGGGACAAACAGAATCTTCAAAGTCAGTCGCATGTAAAAGGAGGTGCCAGAAAGGACAGGCTGTGATCATGTCTACAATCAGCAGCTATGGGCAGCATTTGCAGTTACTACTGGTAACTCCTATCCCAGCATTTCTAAAGCTGGAGGCGCTGAACCAGAGGCTAGCAGTAGGCACCGCATGCAGGCAGCCCACAGCCAGCTGCAGGTGGGATACGGCAGAGCTGCTCTCAAAACCTCTGCCTATTTTGTCCCTTTGCTCAGGTCCGTAAGCAGCACACATCCCAGTGGCTTCTGAGGCTGGACCAAGTGAACTCACCTTCAAGTCCCTGTTACAACGAGCATTCTCTCTGCTCCCCACCCCCCAAATCAGATGACGAAGGTATAGCTATTGTTTGCCAAGCCTGAAGCGGAGGCACAATGCTAAAATGAGGTGATCAAAGATGGGTCCCTCTCAATACAGAGAAACCCTGTCTCGAAAAACCAAAAAAAAAAAAAAAAAAAAAAGATGGGTCCCTCTTGCCCTGTGGCATGAACAATCATGGCAAGTCCCTCAGACTTCACGTGACTATAGATGAGTCTGAGTCCCTTGTACTGGTGACATGATAGCAGTTAACAGTTATCTGGCTATGAAGGCTCCACAGATTAACTCGTGCAAGTGTCAGGACAAGAGCTTGGTCCCCCATACTGTGCCTAAGTGTTAATTGCCTCTATCAGGGATTTCAGCATCTAGGGAGAGGCTTAGATGCTTGAGCCCATTCCTGTTAGTGAAGGTGGTAAGGTTGAAACACTCCATTATGCTAGAAGCCTTAGGGTGGTCACTTGGTGACTTTGGGACCCACCTGGAGAATGCTATATAATCAAGTCTCAGCCTTCTCATTTGAGAATGGGAATGAATGTGTCACTCAGCCGAGAAGGATACTTGAAGGGTCCTTTGAAGGCATACTTACAACAGCCAATTCTACCGCTGAAGAAAGACAACCAGCAGGAACCAGACAGGAACCAAAGCCCACAGCAGGACTTTGAATCTTGGCCTTGCACTTGCCAGCAGTTCGTCCCTGGAAGTCATAACGCCACCCTATGCCCTTGGCCTTCCAAAACTGAGTGCAGTGAGATAATGTCAGTCTGAAGGAGGAAGCAGAGGAAAGGACAGGTGGATAGGCGACAGTGGAGGCTGGGATCCTGCTTTGATCCAGGAGGAAGGACTGGAAGAGAGAAGAGGCTTGTGTCTGTGTTCTGCTAACCAACCTTCTTTCCCTACTGCTCTGGAGATAGCACACGATTCTTCAATGGACGGCGCAGTGGTGGCGTCAAGTATGGCAGGACAGGCCTTGCCACCCATGTCTGGGTTCTAATCACCTATGCAGTATCAGAGTTCCCGAGCAGTTTTATCCCTTTCTTGATTTTTAAAAATTATTCATCTCACGTGTATGAGGGCTTTGCCTGGTGTATATTTGTGCACTATGAGCATGCCTGATGCCCACAGAGGCCATAAAAGTGAAGTGGACCCCTGGAACTGGAGTTACAGATGGTTGTAGCCACCCAATGTGGGTGCTGGTAAGTTTACCCAGGTACTTTGTAAAAGCAGTTAGTGCTTTTAACTGCTAAGCCATCTCTCCAGTCCTCACCACTTCCTTCAAAGACCAAGAAGAACCAGGCATTAGGAGATTGCAGCTGTGAACTTTCTTCTCCATGACTGCGGAGCTTGTAGCAGATACCAAGTATCAGCACCCACACTGCTACTGGGCTCTCTCTCTTCTCTGTCTCTGCTTTACCCCTAGTCTAATTCCAACTGCATGACAAGTTTTGGTTTAATTATATTAATTTGGGAATAAAACAAAATTTTGATGTACCATTTTATGCCTACACATATGAGGTGTATAAATCCACTCAGCACCTGATAAATATTCAATGCCTGTTTTCTTCTAGTGTTGGGATGAGATTTTTTGCAGCTTACCTGTTAGTGAGGAATACAGACAGTTATCACAAGGAGTGACTAACCACGCAGTAAGTGAGAAAAAAGCCGGCCCAGAGAAGGAATTCAGTCAAGGCTACGGAGGATGCCAGGCTGGCACACGAGAATTCTCAGTGCCATTTCTAGTTACTTAGTTATTAGTGAGCATGTATAAAGTTGTCCCTAGATGATGTGGGGCTGAAGGGCCACCAGTGGACACCTAGGGAAGAAAGGGTAATTAGTCCATCATCTAAAGAGTCAGGGGAGGAACTCAAGGCAGGAACCTGGAGGTAGGGACTAATGCACAGACCATGGCGGGCTGCTTTTTGCTGGCTTGGTCTCTATGGCTCTCTCAGCCTGCTTTCTTGAATATGGACTACAGGCTCATAGTGGCACTGCCCACAGAGGATTGGGTCCTTGTGCAGACAATCTAGTGGGGGCATATTCCCAACTGAGGGTCTTCTTCTCAAATGACCCTAGCCTGAATCAAGTTAATTTTAAAAAAAGTGGGCCTGTGTGTGTGTACATGTGTGCATGTATGCATATGGCTTATAGTTCCCCATGAGTCTCAGCCCATCATTGTGGGGAAGACATGGTTGCAGAAACATACCCTGGAGAGTGTTAACACTGCAGTGGACAGAGAAGCAGAACCAGAGCCAGCTAGCCTAGATTCCTCAAAGGGTGTCCCCTAGTGACCCACTTCTGCCATTTCTTTAAGGTTCCACAACTTCCCAAAGAGTGCCAAGGAGAACTGAGGAACAAGCATTCAAAAGATGCACCTGGGCCAGGAATGGGGACACATCTCAGATTCAAACCAGAACACCAACTATCGCAGCGAACAAAATGCCTTAAACGAGGTGAGGCTGTTGCTCTTTGCAGATGGGAATGTGGGAGGAGACCGACACACTCTGCTAAAGTGCAGCGAATCATGGTAAATACGGACCAGAGTGCGTTCACTGACTGGTACCCACAGGCTCTCCTCTTACTTTCAGCCCTGACTACACATTAGGATAAAAAGACTGGGCCCCCAAAGACTCGGGCCCCATGTGTGGGTGGCAGGCCAGTCTGGACAGTTTTTGCAAGCTCTTTGCCTTCCCAAGCAGCCAGGGGAAGGAAGCTGTGGGCACGCTGAACCTTGCACAGTTCCTCCAGTGGGCCATGGAAGTCTAAGGTCTAGTACTTGGGGGCTGCTGAACAAGGGAATTGCCAGAAAGAGGCTGCAAATGGGTTTGGAAGAGAGTGACCCTGAGACTGGAGAGTTGCAGAAAGGGTTCCAAGATGTGGCTGTGGTGTGGGCCCATTCTCAGACAAAGTTCTGGTATACGGTTGGAGGTAAGCTTTGGGAGGGACACAGGCCTCATTACACAGTGGCTCTGGCGTTCTTGGGCGAAGGAAATTGCTCACAGGGTCTAGCCTGGACCTTACTTATTCTAGGCTGTGTCCTGCTTCTGTGGGGTTCTATTTCTCCTTTCCAGGAGGAAGGGATGTTATAAACACACAGGGGGAATGGAGATTGCTGCGTTTGTTTCTGCCTGTTTGCTCCTTGTGTCTTCAGATGACATCACAACTGCCACGTGAAAGAGCTGTCCCTTGTTTTGTCTTGCTCTTGCGATGGTAAAAGCCTCTCTTGCTTTCAGCATCCTTGTCTCTCATACAGACTTCTGCATGGCCACTCCATTCCCTTGTCTCTCACATACGTGGTCAGCTTGCCTTCAGTGCATTGTCTCTGCTTGCTCAAGAGAATCGGCACGTCAGGGGAGCTGCTCCTCTGCTCACACGTGTCTCCCGGGCCCTTCTCCTATGCATTTCCACAGGGTACGCTTCTGGCTACGTTATGAATTCCTGGTTGTGGCCCTCTCCTCCGCTTCTTTCAGAGATTCCAGTCTTGCGGTCTGTCATCATTGTCTTCAGTCTTTGGATGCTCTTTTCCTAAGTCTTGGGCCCACTGACTATGACAAGCTGTGAACTTTAGCCTACAGGATGAGTTTGGCCCCAGTTCATGTGAGATTTGATTGTATTTCAAGAATTTGGGGGGATGGAGAGATGGCTCAGCAGGTGGGAGCCCTTGCTGCTCTTGCAGAGGACTCGAGTTCAGTTTCCAGCACACAGTCAGGTGGTTTGTAACTCCAGAGCATATGACACACTCTTCTGACCTTCTAGCCCTTCCACATCCACATCTCTCTCTCTCTCTCTCTCTCTCTCACACACACACACACTCTCTCTCTCTCTCTCTCTCTCTCTCTCACACACACACACACACACACACAATTTTAAAAACTAAACCTTTAAAAAAGGAAGAGAAAAAGATCTTGTCTGGGAGCAGCCTGCTTGCTCCTGGCCATTCATGTGTCCACTCACAACTTTCTGCTTCCCTGCTTCACACACCTTCCTTGCAGACCTCCGAGCCAGTTGTCCCAACTGCTGTGTTGTCCATATAATGGTTTGATTGGCTTTCTGCCCCCTCTTCTGCTGGCTCTCCTCAGTAGCTGATTGTTTCCACCCAAGGATCTATAACCCTACTGGAAGAAATCTAACAGCAGTTGCCTAGGCAGTTTCCTTGAAGTCAACTGTTCATGGGCATCCATGTTCCTGCTGGGCATCTTGTTCAGAACACACTTATGCTCTAGCCCTCTGTATCAATCAGGGTGGTGTCCTCTGCTAATCACATCCCCGTTACCTGTTTGGCTTCATGCCAGCACTTCTATCCTAGAGTCATTTTACATGTGTCGCGTTCATCTGGAATAGAGAGCGTCCCATTGTCCCTGTCCTTGGGGTCTTGAGCCAGGCTCATGTATGAGCCCCACTTTATCCAAGAGCACCAGAGCATAACTTGGCACCTCCAAGATCTCCAAACTCCCCCTACAGGATGGCCTCTGGGGTCCCAACTATTCTGTCACTTCTCAAGCCTTTCCTTGGGATGTCCTGACATTCCTGCCCTCCTGCCGATGGTCACATCCCAGGCTCTAGCTCCGTGCCTTCTCCCAGAGTTGACTTCTGTGCTGGTTTTACTTCACTGAGTATAGAGTTGAGAGAAAGGTTATCTTGGCTCACAGATTTTGTGGTTTGGGCCCATGATCTGTTGGCACTGGCACTGTTTCTTCAGAGCCAAAAGTGAGGTCACAGGTCATGGTGGGGGCACCCAGCACAGGGGAACTGCTCACTCCATGACCCAGAAGCAAAAGAGAATGAGGAAGAGAACAGGGCTGCACAGTCCCTTTGAGGGCACACCCCAGGCCTCATGCCTAGACCTTTCTACCTCCACCCTAATAGCATCAAGCTGGAAGCCAAGCCTTTAATAGGCCGGTCTTGACGGAGATCTATATCTAGCTTCAGTATGCTCCTTTTTACACCACGTTCTGTCTTCTGCTGTCATAAAATCTAATATGATTCCTTTCTCCACGCTTCCCAAAATTCCCCCCTCATCAAATAATAATCTATTGAGGGCCATCAGTAAGTCCTGACCTATCACCCCCTCACTGCATTGCCTACTTCCCCATGGGCTTTTTATAGCAGCTTCTCAAACACACCCCTTCAACCCCATGCATGGGTGTATTTATATGTGTGCACATGTATATGTGTGTTCCTGTGTGCAGAGATCTGAAGTTGACATCGGGTATCTTCCTTGATTTGTTCTCCACCTGATATATTGAGGCGGGATCTCTCATTAGAAACCAGAGTGCCTTGATTTCAAAGTCTAACTAGCAGCTTGCTCTGGTTATTCCCTGCCTCCACTTCTGTGTGCTGAGAATACAAACAAGGTGCTCGTCTTTATCTTGAGTACTGGGGATTTGAACTCTTTATGCTTGTTTGGCAAGCACTTTATCCACTGAGGCACTTCCCTAGCCCTTGTAGCCTTTCTATGTCCATGAATGACAGTGTGATTTTTGTAATATGCCCCAAACCCCAATGCTTTGAACATCAGTTGAGATGGTGATGATGATGTCAAGCTTATTTGACAGAATATTTAATTAACTAAAACATTTCTATCAATCATTCCTTAACTATTGCTTACTGGGAAACCCTTGCACGGTTATCTTAGACAAAGCATTTATGAGTTAGATGATCCCCAAAAAATAGTTCTCTAGAAGGAAGGTAGACTTGTCATTGAGCATAGCATCTGGGGCAGACAGACTGGAAGAAACCCAGGAGGCTGGCCCCAGCAACCCTGATGCCAGGCCTCTCCTTAGCACCTCTCAGCTGCCCAGAGGGTTGCAGAGCAGGGAGAACATTCCCAGAATCACATTCCAGGAAGAACCAGCACACCATGTCCACAGTAGCAAAACTGAAATATTCAAAGCATTCCACACCTTACGGTAAACCAGGTCTATGTGACGATGTGATGTGGTCCCCACTGCCGGGTGCGGCAGAAATCTTAGCCACCGTGGAGGTGATTTGTCAAAGAGGCACAGACATGGGGAGTTTATTAACGTTTCAGTCAGCAGTTTCATTTTCTTCTCTGTGATAGTTACCCTGCAGTGAATGTGTTCAGTGTTCAGTCCTGAATGTTTCAGCATGTCTGCGGGCAACTGGATGACGGCACCTGAGAAGCCCCGTGTGGATGAGATGAGCGCCGCCGCCGGTGAGGGTGTTCACAGGTCGGCTGTAGCTTCCACTCAGCAAGCCTCTTTTTTTTTTTTTTTTTTTGAGAAAAGGTCTTGCAGTGTAGACCAAGCTGGCTTTGGTTTCCAACTCTCAATCCTCCTGCCTCAGCCTCCTGAGGGCTGAAATTAAAGGCGTGTTCTTCTGCTCATGTTTAAGCCTCAGAGCTTGGCACCTAGTTGAAAAAAGATTATAGAAATATTCAACAGGTAAGAACGAAACGGGTCAATGCTACTCTTCACCTTTGGGTGTGGAATGGGGGGGCAGATTTCTTTGTGTACTAAGAGTCAAAGCTCAGGGCTGCTGGGACCTGAAACCCTACCTATAGCAGCATGCCACCAGCAGTGATATCACAGCAAGGTGCCTAAACATGAAAGCTTCTGTCCCTGTGTCTCATCTCCGGGGGCAGCTCAGAGAAGCCTCTCTATGAGGACACTGACTTCCTTCAGAGAGAGAATGTGAGAACAGGGATCTTGCCATCAAGATTCCAAGCAGCCCATCCTGGATGTCCCCCTGCTTCAGCTCTCCTTCATAAGATAGGACCACAGCTGCCTCCTATGGATGCTGTGAAGATTCAAAGAGGTAAATAGACAACAGATGCTTATACTCCATAGGGTTCTCTCTCAACATAGTCAGTTCCCACTGGTGAGTTAGGTCAAATGTGGAAAGTTCCCTGACCCCTGGATTGCTGAAGGGGTACCATGGCACAGGTGCACATTTTTGATGAATTTCACTCATGATGTGCTCTTTTCTGAGGGTTTTGGGAATTTTCATGGATTGTTCTGGAAAGCTCCGGAAAAGTGTGAGAATTCCTTGAGTTGAAGCTGAGCTCCTCCATGGAAACCTGCTCTTGATTGCTTCTAAACGGAACCAAGCTGCAGCCTCTTTAAACTGATCATCCAGCCCAGCAATGACAAGGTGGTGTGTACAACATAATAATTGAAGCAGAGTGATAAACATTTTGGGATCTGCAAACAGTAATCCCTTTTAGTGTTTGGGATTTCCTAGTCTATGGAGTGTAGATAGTCCAATGACAAAAACTAAGACATGTGGCATCCGGAAGAACTGTGTGGACAGAAGCAATGAGAAAAGGTAACTTTACTACCCCGCCTACATCAGGGCCGAAGTCACAATTTACATCATACAAGGTGCTTATCAGGAGGGAAGTCTAGCTTCAGGGACACCACGAACAAGAGACTTACACGACACCCGTCTCTTCCACTGTGGAAGTTCCAATAAGCCTGGAGTGCTTGGAGGATTAGCACGAATCCAGCAAACAGCTTTGGTTTTCTTCAACACTGACAGCAGAGTACAGAAGGCAACTCACTGTAGACAGCTCATTGGTTGAGCCAGAATACATGCAATGGATTGGTGGTGTGTGCACAGGTGTCCAGAAGAGCAAACAAGGAAAAAATACTGTAAAGAACACGCACGTAATTATATCAATCAACTTTTGCAAAGAGCAATTTTATGAAAAACAAATTTTTAATATTTTTAATTTTTCTGACATTATTGCCTGCCAGATTTATAACTAAAGAATAACTAACTGTTAAGAAATAGTAACTCTTCATTCTAGAAGAGAAAAGCCCAATTCTGGAAAGCAGCCTACTTTGATGCCTTGCTTTGTCTTGCTGTGCTTAGGAATGCTGTTATTGATCACTAAGTGGAATTTCCAAAACAGGGAGTCTTCTAGAAATGTGGTATTTTATAGAATTGTGGAAAGAAGTGGGAGACAGGGATGGGGTGGAAAGGGCTGAAAAGATAATTTACAGAACTAACTAGAACAATAGCTTTAACGTTCTTCATCCATCCCTGCAACAAATCATGTCCTGCAGGCTGGGCTGCTGCAAGGGAGCTTGGCCTCATTCTGTTCCTACTGGAAGCGGCGACAAGTGTTCGGACTGGTGCCACGTTATGCATTTGGAAGAATAATTGCATTATAAAACCCACTCCATGCTTCCTACTGCTCCAGCAATGGAAATACTGAAGAACATTTGGACTGATTTAAGCTTGAAGCCCTTCTACTACCCAGACACCCCCCAGCCCCCAACAAGCCTGTTACCTGTTTAAGCCAGCTCTGATGGTGGGTGGACAGGAATCATTTTTTCCACCCAATTCTTAAGTCAGACCACTATAGAAACTTCAGGCTTTATACGAGACTACGATGCATGGGGAGCTTGGGGACCCCTTTCTAGAGAAGCATGATTCTCTGATTCAACCTGAACCTGAACGATACTCAATTAACTCTCAAGAAATCACCCTCACTCATTGAAATGCATTCATTGCGGAGCTGGCCTGAAGTTAAGGGATGCACAGCATCCTGTAGGCAGTGAAAGTCGGGATTCTGGGAGGGAAACGGACATCAAATCCCACTTTTGTCCAGACAGTGTGAGTGGGCCCTGGGAAGGGGCAGTTTTGGTTCTGTTTTTGCGTGTAGTTCTGAGGACAGAAAATGAAGCTTAGGTATGTTTATGGGGGAAATCTAAAAAGACAGTTCCCGGAGGGCTAGAGCTCTACAGCCAAGATGAATGAAATACAGAAAAGGGCAGGAAGGAAAGAAGCCCGTGTCAGTTCTGAACTGTGAGTGGGGAAATAAGCCCCCCTACTCTGGGAATATGTAAGCATGAGTCTGAACTGTGTGACACAGAAAGCTGGGCCAGAAGCTCAGTTTAAAGTGTCTGTAGTTTGCAGCTTGGTTCCACTTAGACACAAGCAAGAGCAAGTCCCCAGGGAGGAGCCCAACTTCTACTCAAAGATTTCTCACACATGTAGCTTTCCAGAACAATCTATGGCTTTCTAGAGGAATCCATGAAATTCTCAAACACTCAATAAAAGAACACATTGTGAGTGAAATTCCTCAGAAATATTAGAAATACACACCCATTCCAGGTACGTGCCAGGCATGGAAGAGCTTATTTGCCTCGTTAAAAGGGAAGATAACAGCACTAAGAGTGGTGACAGACATGAGGATCCCAGCACTGGAGTGGAGGTAGGATGATCAGGAGTTGAAAGTCAGCCTCGGCTATATAGCAAGTCTGAAGCCAGCCTGGGCTACATGAGACCCCATCAAACAAGACAAAGCAAAAACACCAGAAGCTGAACATGAAGATGGAAACTGGCTTGCCTTTAGACCAAATTAGATGCAGCTGATAAGAAAAAATTAAATGGAAGGAGGGGAAGTCCACGGGGATGATGAAATAAACCCCCCAAAAAGAAGAATGGGAAGCATGTGTTGAGGCAGGGGCATGAAGCAAGAAGGCTTGACATGAGCCATCTTGAGCCACAATGCAATGCAATACAGAGAATGGGGAAGAGGAACCGTTAAAGGACACACTTTTAAGAGATATCAGAAGATCTTAATACTCTGTGATAGCCTGGGAAAGGATTGCAGAAGCTGACTCAATAAAGGATAGATTTGGAACGAGCGGATTTTGTGGACTTAGAGGAATGTGTAAAATATCTAAAATACTGCCTTTCCAAACAAACTTTAGCCATTTTGCTTGCACTTTTTGTAGTTCTCTGTGCCAAGACAGGATGTGATCTGCTTTCAGTTGTCACATCTCACGTTTGTCTATCACCCCTCTTCCACTGTGCTCGTGTTCCAACTCCAGAACCACCACACAAAGCGATCGTTACCCTTCAGACACCTATCCGATCCTCCAAAGATCCCTGTCAGTTTTCACTAGGATGTGATCGAGCGAGAAGCGAAGGAGTTAACTTGAATCAAGACTTTCCAGGCCATATTCCCAAGTGCTTGTGACAAACACAAGACTCTAGGGACAGGTTAAGATTGAAAGAGGACCCTATCTCTAGTGCTGTCTATGTACAGGGCATGTAAAGGCAACACTCTAAGGAATCTAATAGCTTTAGAATATCCTGTCATAGGTTGCAATTCTACCAGATACACAGGTGTCTGTTTGCACACTGACACCTTGAAAACAGGTTTCTGTGTCATTCTGGAAGAATGGTATCCTTTCATTAATGGATAGGAAACTCAAGATGCCAGAGATCAGTGCATCCCCTCATTATTATTTAGGAGGCTAAATTTGGAGACTTTAAAAAATGTTAATAAAGAAAGATTAGTAACCATAGAAACACAGGAATGATCAATTCCACTGGCAAGCAGTCACCTTCTGTAGTATGATTTGACCTGCTGTAGCAAGTACTTCAGCCTGAAGATCTGTCTCCTACAGGTCTGAACTACTCAGAACCATGGGAATTCACTAATGTAATAGGCAACATATTTAATAACAAGCATAGAAAATTTGATCAAAAGTTATAATATACTCCGTACAAAGAAATGTCAAAAAAGAAAATAGTGGAAACTGACCAAACCCTCCACAGTGAAGGGGGGGCACACAAGTGCTGAGATCAATTCTGAGACTACAAAGGAAGGACAACAGACAAGTGCTGGCAATCACTCTCTGACAAGCTCTTATGCTTTATTTCATTTAGCCCTCGTGACATCCTGTAAGTACACACACACACACGCACACACACACACACACACACACACACACACACACACACACACACACACACACACACTGCTAATGTAATTATCATGGTAGAGATTTAGGCGGAAAGCAAACATCACCCATTTTACTGTGAGCAAAACCAGTTGTAGAACTTTGTGTATTTCTTATCCCTTCATATAGTGTTTTGCACAACTAAATTTAGAACAGATTTTTTGAGATGGGGCAATGGTGCAGGGGATGAAGCAGTTGTGATGAAAGTGTGAGGAGCAGAGTTCAAAGCCCCAGAAAATATGTAAAGCTGAAGCATTTACCTAACTATTCTTTATCAATATTGGGGTAAGAATCTGATCAATCAGCAAAGCAGTAGAGAGGCCACCAGTGACCTCCTCTCTCCTTCCTTGATCCAAAAGAGCTGAGCATCTTTCTAAAATCCTCCCTACTACTTCCTGTGTCTCTCTATATGTCCTTGGTCCTCTAAAACCCTCTATAGCTAATTTTGGCCAACAGTATCTAGCTCCACTATCTGATTCAAAGTAAACTTTATTGTCAGTCTTGGGAGTATCAGATGCCATCAAAATATCTCATACCATAAAGCCTTATGAGGGAGCATGCATCTGTAGTCCCAGCACTCCTGAAGTGAGATGGGAGATAGAGACAGGACAATCCCCAGAAGATGGAGTTTTGCTAGGGTGGCTGTATGTAGTGATGCCCAGCAAGAAGAATCCTGTCTCATATGAAGTGGAAGACAAGGACTGAACCCAAAGTTTTCCTCTGGCCTTCATATGTGTGCATGTACACACACACACACACACACACACACACACACACACTAAAATAAGAAGACAGTTTCTCTTGGTACTGAACACTTTCTTTCATATCAATGAGGACTTAAGGTTAGTCTACTCCTTTACTACTTATTCAGTGTCTGACTCTGTGGTGAACACCTGAGAAATCCTTGCCTATTGTGTGAGCATGGCTGCTACACTAGCTTGCTCATTTGCTCTCATTTTAAAAATTTCTATTTATTAAAATGTGTAGAGCTTTGTTAGAATCCCTGATTTTTCTTCTTAAGGCTAGTTTTCAGACACCAAATTTCAATTAAAATTTTAGACCTTTCTAAATTCATACTACAGATTGACAACATGGGGACATCCTCCACATAAACTCAAGAGTTTCTGTTTTTAAATGGCTTCTTAAATATTATCTACAAAATGATTTATGTTCTTATTAGCACACACGCACACACACACAATTTTTTCTTTTTGTTTATTTTTTTTTTGAGACTATCAGAAGTTCCATCCCGAGGGCTGGGTTCATGGCTCAGTTAGAAGTGCTTGCTATGAAACCATGGGAAGGCCTGAGTTCAGACCTCCAGCACCTATGGGGAGCCAGTTGACTGTCCCTCCACCACACAGCTTGAGAGGTGCTCGGTTGAAAAATCTGAAACAAGCCTTTGGGAGGCTTTGGAGTCCACCAGAGCCATTGCAATTGTCTTCATAATTTTATTTAGGAAAAATGACTTTTAAAAATTAAGCTTTAAAAACAAACACAGGAGAAAATCAGTTCATTTTTTTCAGTATTTATGGGTTAAAAACTCAATCAGGCCGGGCGGTGGTGGCGCACGCCTTTAATCCCAGCACTCGGGAGGCAGAGGCAGGCGGATCTCTGTGAGTTTGAGGCTGGGCTGGACTGACAGCCTCCAAAACAATACAGAGAAACCCTGCCTCGTAAAAAAAACAAACAACAACAACAAAACAAAACAAAAAACAAAAACAAAAACAAAAACAAAAAAAACCCCCCAAAACTCAAATCAGACCTTGGAAGCAGTCAGACATGGTGAGTCTCTAGCTGGAGGGTTCTATCACATTTGTCAACGTTGATGTCTACCCAGAGGATTCGATCTTGCAGCCCCAAGTACATTCTGAAACTTGACTCAGC